AGAGGGGCATTGATAATAATTTTATTCAATCATCAATTACCTTTATCCAGGGGTTAACACTCTATTAGAAGGTGCAAATGGCCACTCAACGTCTGAGAGAGACATTCTCTTCTGCCTCATTGTCTGTTACCTGATCACTCCATCCTGCAATTTCATCAAACTGACTGGGTGAATCAGTTGATCAGGGTTCCCTTAACAAACCCTCTTTTTACTCATCTTTATTTGTTATAAGATCAAAATTTGACTCCTCAAAAGGAATGAGCTTTATGACAAAAACAACTACAAAAATATAAGAAAAAATAACTTTGTAATTAAGCATACATAACAAATGTTCTTCATGAAAATCACATACATAACTATTTTGAATATCAGACCATGTGCTTCATATGCCTGTTATAAATAATGAGCAATATGGTTACTGAAGTGGACGACCAATCACTAGGAAATAACAGTCATTATACAAATACAATCCCAGGGGACTCTCTATGAGACATAGTACATGCTTGTTGACTTGAATTGGTTTGAACCTATCAAAGCAGCAATGGCCTCCTGTTGTTGCTGGAGTGTCCACGTGTACTCACATGTGCTGGTGGGAGGCAAGGGGGTATTTGGCAAAAACTCTTCTTATCCTCTGACTTTCCTAAAGCAACAGGTTTTCTTCCCATTATGAGTAGTAGGAAAGCTACCAATGCAGAAATAGCACTACACTTCTTTGCAAATAGAATCCTGCTATTGATTTTCTGTCATGAAACATGTTGATGGTTCTGTATTTCTCATCAATAGCTTTAGGCAAAGTCCTTCTTACCTAAAACTCTTATTCAGATTTTTACAAAAAATTCTCTTTGGCGAAATTTGTGTGTTTATGGCAAAACTTTATAAAATGTGGCTGACGAGTCTGTGTGTGTGTGTGTGTTTTGTGCGCGCACATGCGCACGTGTGTGTGTGCGTGTGTATGTGACACAATCCCAAATTGCCCACTCTGGGAGGAGGGTGAGGAGGCAGGGCCCCCAAATAGTATGCTGGATATATTGCTTCCTGTACCTACACAGAAAGAAGCTGTGGGTACCTGCTTTTCTGTGGCTTTCCATGGGTGATGCCTCCCTTTGTCAGGCACAGCTTGAACCAGGTATTTATTTTTTTCCTCAACCCAGTGTAGCCTGGGAGGAGCCAGATGGCCCTGAATTGATTTTCTCTGAGTACACTGTCAGCTCACATACACTTACTGTACCTGTAGGGGCTTAGGACATTAGTCATCTAAAGCTTCAGAGTGGCCAATTCTTTATCTGGCTGCCAGCAAGTTGAGGTTGGGTTTTTGCCCCACTTCGAGCACAGGAGGGCACATTCTTTCACTATCCATAGCTCTCTCAGGAAACTAGGAATGTTCTCAATGTGAAATGTAATTCTGCCTGCCTTGAAGACAATTTCCAAACTACTTTTTTTTTCAGCAAAGGAAAACATATCTTTACCAAAAAAAATTTTTTTAAAACAATCTCAAACCATTTAAGTGAGTTATTTGGATACAAAAATTTTGAATCAAATTTATCATGAAGTATTGCAGGTGATCATAAATAATTCTTGACACGAACTATAAATGCTGATTCATTACAAATATACTGAGTTCTACCTGTTCTCTATTCAAAACATAGTTGTCCAGTAGGTTTAGAAGTAGTATTTTTATATATGTGGAAATTTGTTTTAAACATAACTAAAAGATACATTAGGAATAAAATAATGTCCTATTTGATGTTACATGTTCTTTGAAAAACATCATTTGGGTAAATAAAATATTCATTTAATGTTGTGATAGAAGCCTGTATTTGAGACTTCTTCAGGCTAACCATTATCTAATAAATCAACCTGAACCAGCAGGTTGAGATTATGAAAGACAAAAGATAACTGTGCACTTGCCTACAATTCCCAACATGCAATATTCTTTGAATGAGGTGTGGGAATCTCAGTTCTAATTAGCTTTAGTTTTTATAATTTGAATATATTATCCTAGTCTATAACCCTCTGTGTGGTTAAGTTTGTATTTTATGAGTGTTTGACAATAGAGAGAGTTCCAAAAATATGAAACAGTTTTGAGGGAAAAAGTAATAACATTTCTCATTTTTGCCATATCGAAGACAGATTCAATCATTTCTCATAATCCATGGCACCATTTTCTTAAGCATTCATCCAACCACACCCTTTAAATAATGTCCTCCACAAACAAGCAAAACATCAAATATATTCTAGGCAAAACCAACAGCTGCTGAGCAAATTTCTTCTGAAACCCAGTGCTGGGAAAAGCCAGGGCTATATCGTTGTAACTGGCTGGACCAAAGGAAGCAGAAAGGATGCTGGGAAAGAAACAGGCATATGGAAAGCTAAATGGGCCAATCTTGGTCTGAAAAGCTGCCTCAGAGGAGGTTTTCTTTTCTCAAAGTTCTGGGACGTTCAATGGAAGCTTCACAGAAATAAGGGACGCAGGCTTGCAGTGTTTATGCTGAGCACAGCTGTTGGCTAATTGTGATTGGATTGTGGTATTTGATGGGTGTGTGTATCATGCATGTGCTAGGGCATGGAGAGGGGATTGTTGCTACCAGTCCATCAGATGTGTGTCCAGAGAATCTCTTAGCATTCTTAAGACTGAATAGAAAAAACCCCATTGCCTAGCCAAAAAAAAAAAAAAGACTGAACAGCAAAAAGAAAACAAGATGAAATAAAAATATGATGTCCAAATGCTAAAGCAATGAGGCTCCCATGCTTAATTGAAAATTGCAGTTTTAGAACTGCAAGAGACCTTAAAAGCCATCGAGTGCGATACTGTCATTTTACAGATGAGGAAACCAAAGAACAAAGGACATAAGTGAATTGCCCAGGGTCATTACAGCTAGGAAATGTCTGAGGCAGAGTTTGGAAGCAAATCTTCCTAACTCCAAGCCTAATAATTTATACACCATACACCTGGCTTCCTCTATTCACTGCCCATAGGGCTGTGCCACTTAGCTACTCATTTTTACCGTTGGAAAGACAAATCACACAGGCTAGAGGAACATAAAAGGTCCATAGCTAATTGCATTCATGGAATCACAGACTTAGGGACAGCTATATGGTAAGGTGGATAGACTGCTGGCCTTAGAGTCTGAAGGACCTGAGTTCAAATCTGGCCTCAGACACTAGCTGTGTGACCCTGGGCAAGTCACTTAACCTCATTTGCCTCAGCTTCCTCATCTGTAAAATTAGCTGGAGAGGGGAATGGCAAACCATTCTTGTATCTGTGCCAAAAAAAAAAAAACCCAACCCAAATGTGGTCATGAAGTGTCAACCCAACTGTTGTTGTTTGTCTTTTGTTCTTGAAGAGGACCGGGACATCAGGGAAGTCATGCCATGACACGCAGGTAAATTGGATTTAAGTGAAGGAGGGTGGTGCAAAGTCAAAACAACATTCACAACGTTAACCACACAAGGGCTTAGGAATCACAATTTTCACTGCTAAGAAATAGAGGGAAAAGGTCCAATTAGGGGAAAATGAAAAGGGCTTCTACCTTCTCTGTAGGGGGAAGAGAAAGAAGGAAGCAGCAGGTATTTTTAGAATGGTGGTAAGGAAGTCATGTGATTTTTACCAAAAATAAACAACGACCTCAAGGATTTCCAAATGAATGACCTTTTTTTAAACTTCCCAATGAGATCCTGTTCCTAGTTAATCCTAAGAAGAAGGAATCTAAAGCACAAATAGGTTTCTTTATTAGCTTCCTCAGTGCCTAGCCCAGTGTGACTTGACCAGAGAGGAGAATTGGGGGAAGTTTCAGCTCACTGTAAGGAAGACAGCAATTCAAACAACTAGAATGGCTTGTTTCCATGAGACAGTGAGCTCCCTTTCACTATAATGAATGCTTAACCAGGATCTTGTTAAGTGGCTTCATCCACTGGCCAAAGGAGTTGGGGCTAGATGGCTTCTAAGATCTCTTCCAAATCTAAGATCCTAAAAGTATATAAACACTTGGTTTGAATTGAATGTTTAGGAAAAAATGTCCTTTGTAAATTGTTTTTTGTAGTTGTAGAAGAAGGGAACACAAGGATAAGAACTGAAAGGGCAAGAGAAAATAGAATTTTTCCTCATCATAAATTATAGGGTAATGATATTAGGAAGGACAACTTTTGCTGATTGAGGAATGCTCATTTTTGCTCAGTCCCCCCCTCCAACTAAATGAAATTTCTGTAACCACCATAGCTCCAGTTATAGTGGCAAAGTTGGTGTAGACTCATGATAGGCCCTCTAATATTAAAGGAGAGTTCACCTGTAGATTTAACTATTTCTCTTCATTTGGCCATGAAAAGAGAGAAAATGGCCCTGAACCAGAGGCTTTCACACAGCCTGGAGTCCCATCTTACATTGATTCAATTGCTCTGGCCCAAGGGCAGAATGGCTCTCTGGGATCACATTAAAGTTTCTTCAAGTGCCAAGTCTAGCCTGGGGAATTTGTATCCCTTTCCACCCCCTTATGTGGCTAGTGACCCTGCTTTTATGAACAGTGTGATTTACTGAGAAGAGTTCTTCAAAGCCTACCTACACATATGATCAAAGAGTTAGAAAATCTCCTGGCATATCACTCCTTCATGGTTTCTGGTGTGCATCAGTACATTTCATCTCTTTAGGTATGCAATATTCAACACATTTGTGTAAAAGAAGAAGGAATTTGTTCCTATAGCATGCAGCACTTTTTACTCTGAATGTGGTATTTACTTAAAAGCAAGGCAAGGACACTTTAACAGTCACATTTCGGGTTTTAAAAGCTGCATTATATATACCAGCAAATATTATAATTCTGCTTTCTCCTTGGTCCCTACTACTTCATCCAGTGACAGTAAGAAATCTTATCTAATTATGGATATTTCAAAATGATAGGACCTCATTAATGTTAGACAAATTACACACTATTTTAGGGAACTTCCCCTCCTCCAAAAATCTTGACCAATTGGTCAAGACTGATTGGTTAAGAGCTTTGTTCCTTTAGTTACATCCTTCAGTTACATACTTTTCTGTATTAGGAATCACAGAAGATGAGAAGGTACATAGAAGTTATTGTCTGGATTAGTGAAGGAAGTCTCTTTGTCGATGAAATTATGGCTCCAAATATTAGCCTTGTGTCATTTTGTATGTATCTATACATGTGCATGTTGCTTCCCCCATTAGACTATAAACTCCTTGAGGGCAGGTTCTAGTTCACTTTTATCTTTGTATCCCTAACATCTAGCACATAATGGGTGTGTAACTAACCGATAAATCAATTTTTTTGTAAGTGGATTTGGCATTTTCTCACCTGGCAAATTATCTTGTGTTTTGGGGACATTCTCACAGGTTTTTACAAAATGAACAGATTTCTGATGGCAAAACTCTGGAAGTTTCTTTGAATCCTTTAGCTGAAACAAAAGGAAACTAATGGAAAAACTGTCTCATTAGCCTAACTGGCTTAGGCTAGGAAACATATCAGTCAGTCACTGGTCTACTTACCAACAGATAAGGAAGAGGGATGTTAAAAGAGTATTTGGAAGCAAAGAGGTACAAAGGTAGAAAGCAAGGGGAAGAGTAAATAAAATAAAAATCTATCTTTTAAATCCCCAGTGCATTTTTTTTCTTTCCATCATTCAAATTCAGGAGAGAATCAACCTTTTCATCTCCTACTTTTGATGTGAAATACCTAGACCCTGCTAAGGATATAAGTCTTTGTGAATTCTTGAGTCTCTTGTCTCAGTTCTCTTTGGATAGTCCTCTCCAGAACCAAAGTCTAAGACATCTGGGTAGTTGGTAAATTCCTGAGGTAATGGGAACTCTTCTGCTGATGAATGAGTCCGGTGCCCAAACACCTTCTCCTGAAGTTCTGCGATGTCATTTCGGATGTCAGCCATCATCAGCAAGAGGAAATCAAAAGAACCAGGGGGTCCCTGTACATTTAGAAGTAGAACTCAGAGTCAGAATATTGTAGCCTCAAACCTAGCCAATACCTAAAGTGTCCAAAAGTGGTTTGATTTGCTAAGGTCTACTGATCAATGTCAACTGCTAACTTGATGGGAAATGCATTTGCTGAATTCCATTGCTCAAGCTGAGCTGTCCTGGGGATGACAATAATCAATCAGAGGTTCTCAAACCTTCAAATTACATGTGACCTTGGGCAGATTATTTAGTCCTTTAACACCTTTGTTTCCTGCTTTGTAAAATGGTGAAGGAGTTAGAATGATCATCTCAAGAGACTCCCCAGAGTACAAGTATTAAAATCTATTTTAAAGGCATTTTGCTCTGTGAATGACTTAGCTATTCTTAGTAATACTTAGTATTACTTAGTAATTACTTAGTAAATCAAAGACAGTTACACAGGACTCATAATGAAAGATGCTATCCATCTCCAGAGAAAGAACTGAAGGAGTCTAAATGCAGATCAAAGCATACTTTAAAAAAACTTTTATTATTTTATTTTTCTTGGTTTTTTTGTTTATGTTTTCATTTGCAATATGGCTAATATGGAAATACATTTTGTATGACTTCATACATATAACCAATATGGGGTTGCTTGCCTTCATAGGAAGGGGGAGATGGAGAGGGAGGAAGAGAATTTGGAACTCAAAATTTTGAAAAATGAATGTTAAAAATTATTTTTACATGCAAATGTAATTTGAAGACTTTAAAGAATAAAAAATCATGTTGTCAGTTTTACATACATGGAAAATGACAATAATTTAAAACCACCATGAGAGCACGTTATAAAGAAATTAGTCTTTTAATAATTAGGAAATAATCAAAGGATTTCTAGTTTTATATATAGTGCACACATATCATTTCCCATTGTTAAAATACTTATTTATCATTAAATCCACTTAACACCATTTAGTAATCACCACTCCTGGTGATATGAGAAAGTTTAAGTGGGCATTTCCCTTGTCTTCTGGGAAATAACAATCTCAAGCAGACACTACAGGTGCAGCCTGTTAAATATTAGTTAAGTTTATGAATTTTTTTCTAGAACTTTGATGAGTCTGTTTCTGGTGGTGATGGTGTCTGTTTTACATTGTAAGATCACAGAGGGCAGAAGTCATATGCATTTAGCTCACTTTGTAGAATGTTCCCAAAGAGCACCATTAAGAAACAGGTAGGTTTATTAACGCCAATAAAGAGATCTTTGTTTCGTATGGTTAAAGCAGTGGTTAAGTTTATAGGACGTTGGGACTGAGTAGTTTTTTAAAAAAAATAGTTTTTTCTTTTCTGATTTTTTTCTTCTTTTAGACTTGTGAGTGTTCACAGAACACATGGATAAGAGGCATAGGAAACTAGGGTTTTGAGTTTCCCAGAGAGGGCCTTCTACCTAAGGCAAGGTTTCTTACTCTTTTTTGTACCACAGGCCCCCCACCTCCCTCCTTTGGCAGTCTGGTGAAGCCTATTGACTCCTCAGAATAATGATTTTAAGTGGAAAAAATAGAATACATAGGATTACAAATAAATCAATTGTACTGGAATACATTGATTAAAATACTTTTTAAAAAAAAATTTCATGGACTCTAGGTTAAGAATGCCTGACCTAAAGATTAGCCATGATTTGAGAAAAAAGAAAAGCAGCTGCACTGGCTTCAGCAGATCTTTTCACAGTAATAAAACACTATTCTGAAGAACCAAATGAGAAAATAAGGAGGCCATCATTCTTATCCAAGTCTACACTGATTAAGGGTCATTCAAAAGTCTTTCCAAAGAACATCCTAGCTTGGTAAGATCAGACAAATAATGTACTTACTGGAGATCCTTTGGGCCCAGGAGCTCCTCTCTCACCCTAGAAAAATCAACAACAGGATTGCTATCTAGAACAAGTATTTACTATTTTATTTCTACTTAAAAATAAGAAAGAAAAAGAAGACAAAAACACCAAATAACAAACTTCTATGATTAAAACCAAATGTAAGGCTGCAGCTGTGCCTCAGGGACCCACTTATTTGTACACAGCTGCCCAGGTCCAATGTCTCAGATTTCCCCCAAGGCCATATATTTCCAAACCAGGTTTGACAAAAAGAGCACACATATCCCCAGGCAACTTACATAGTTACTTGCAAACTTTGAAAACTAACTCTTGTGGATTCTCCACTCCATCCCTCTCCCTGCTCCACCTCATGAAGTGCCACCCATATCAGAAAGCAGATAGTTTTCAAAGTAAAATTACCAATTAGTTTCTGGAGTCAAATCTCTCAAAAAATGCAAAAACCTTGCAAAAGTCTTTGGTCAAAGAGAAAAGAATGTATTTTTATTATTATTGCATAGGGGTGAATTTAAAATAGGACTAGGGAATTTCTTTCAAGATTTTTCAATTTTCTCCGTGAGATATTTTTCTAATTTCCCTCCCAACTTTTATATTTCAGAGAAAATCTCTTTGCCTCAGTTTTTCTCCTCCCCTTGGAAAATGGGAGTATTAATGCTTGAGGCTCAGTTGGTACCTATAATTTTGATGACAAGGAATATTTAAACTTGCAAAGACTGAACTTTTAGCCCATACCTTGGAACCATCTCTTCCTGGTGCACCTGGTGGACCCTAAAAGACAAAGGAATCCTGTCAAAAAGAAAAGGAAATGAAAACAGAAAAAAAGAAACCCCCATAGTAATGTGGATTGGAAAAAATACTAACCACAGGGCCCCTCCGGCCTTGCTTAATATGAGAGAGGTCAGGAGATGGTCCAATGGGTCCCATTGAGCCCCTGGGGCCAGGCTGTCCAGGAGGCCCAGGTACCCCAGGAAATCCAGGGCTTCCTTTTGGTCCAGGTGACCCTGTAATCAAAAGACATCCTGTAAATCTAACAGCCTGAGAGATGAACACTGGGGCAATTGTCTCTCTAGCTAAGTCTTCTAGCATTCTATTCTGATTCTTCTAGAGCAGGGGTTCTTAACCTGTGGATCTGTAAACTTTTAAAAATATTTTTTGATAATTCTATCCATGACTTCAATAATTTAACATAATTGGTTTAATTTGTAATCTGATATATTTAATTTTATTCATTTAAAAATTATTTTTAAAAATATTCATTTTTCTAAGAAGAGGGGTCCATAGGCTTTATCAGATTGCCAAATAGGTCCATGACATCAAAAAGGCTAATAACCTCTTCTCTAAAGCTACCTTTTACTACCTTTTAGGGAGCTTCCATCTTAGGTTATACTAGGTGACAACTAGCAAAAGAGTGTGGTTTTCAGGTCCCTGAGAAAAATTCTAAAATTTTCAGATTATATAGATGTGAATTTAGGGCCAGACACAGGTCTTAGAACAGACAGGCTAGTTCAGATTTCATCTAAACTTGTCACTCATCCAGATTTTGAATTCCATTTCCAGGTATGTGGTTGGGAAGGAGATGAGTTTCTTCCTTTGATTCAAAGAATTCCTTCAACAGCCCAAAGCCAGCCACTTCCAGGACCAACACTTTACAAGAGTTTACACAGTGAATAAACACATCAGGAAGCACTGCATTACCAGCCAAGCTACAGTTACATGTGTGGGATGCACAGCTCCATACCCTTCAATTCTATGGGGGCAATGAGTACAAAAGCCTGGTTTCCAATCCTAGGAATTGAGCTTTGCCAAATATCTAATGATATGCTGAGACCCTTTCTTTAATAAATCTGTATATTCTGTGATTGAATTACCTTAAGATATAGAACCAGAATATTAATTAATTGAACAGCAATTAAGAATTAATTAATTATAAAGAAATCTTATTACCCCTTGAGCTACCCTAATAAACCTCAGGAACAAGTTTTAAAACGTTAAAAGCAAAGAATTAAGAAGAATCAGAAATTCATGGAAAAGCAAAGGTGAGCTTCGTGAATAAGTGCAATGCACGTGATTAATCTTAATCATAAACTATGCAAACATTTGATGTGTTCAAATCATTACTGTATACAATGGTTTCTCCTTTTTTCTGTCTTCCAGAGCTATTATTGCACTTCATCACAAATATAATGATAGAATGAAATGGTAGAATATGATGGTAAAATGAAATCGAATTTGGAGAGTATTGAAATCCCATTTCTGACATTTGCTACCTGTATGTCCTTGGGCATGTCATTTAATCTCTCTAGGCCTCAGTTTTCTTACATGAAATTGAGCTATATGACTACTTAGGGTCCCTTCCAGCTTTGTTTTGGGTGGAGGTTTTGGAGTGTGTTTTAGAGTCCAAATCTAGTACCCTGGACAGCTCAAGCCAAGTTAGAAACCAGAGGGCAGAAATGAAAACAATCCAGAAGGAGAAAGATAGTAAATTTTTCTCTTGGCCCTATAGCTTGTCCCTGCTATGGTTTTATATACATACACACATACATACATACATAACAAATATACACATACGCATACATATATGTGTGTGTGTGTGTGTGTGTGTGTGTGTGTGTGTGTGTGTGTATACATGTATATAAAATCAGAAATAACCTCCCTCTGGTGAAGCATGAGTGTCCCAAGCTTTGAAGATAAGAGAGAAGCCTATGATGGAAGTAAATTCATAAGAAAAGATACCATATTCATTGATAAATAGCAAGATGCCCATATAAGAGATTTTCTAAGAAGACTAGAAAATAGGTTGGTCATAGAACCTACACTAGGGGAGATATATGGAGATGAAAGCCAATACCAACTCTCATTCTGTGAATAGATATATACTCAACATTGCTCCTACCACATTTAAGGAAAAACAGAGGATTAGCAAAGAATCAGGGAAGAAAAAACATTAGTTTGGCCCTGTCTCTACTTTTTTCCCTGACTCATTTCCCTCTACCAAATCATATCCATCCTTCAAAGCTCAGCTTAGGCCTTGTTTTTTCCATGAAGCCTACCCTAACCATTCCTATATGTGATTTCTCCTTTTTTCTGACTTCCAGTACCATCCATTTTTGTACTTCACTGTAGAATGAAAGAATGTTAGATTTGGAGTCAGAGAACTTGTATTGAAATCCAAACTCTGACACTTGTACCTGTGTGTCCTTGGGCAAGTCATTTAATCTCTCTGGACTCAGTTTCCTCATCTGGAACTCTGTTTTATTACTGCTTAGGGTCCCTTCCAGATTCAAATCTATTATCATCTCTTCCTCTTAGTTTCCCTGGTCTTCAAGTCTCAGCTGAAGTCCCACCTTTCCTGTCCTCCCCAACCCTCCCAGATGCTAGTATCTTCTTTCAGATTACTTGCTATCTATGCTGTATGTATCCTGTATGTAACTAGTCATGTTGTCTCTCCTATTAGAGCATAGGATCCTTGAGATCAGAGATTGTTTTTGTTTTTTGAGGTTTTTTTTGCTTTTTGTTGTTTCCCCAGCACTTTGAATATGGCCTGGCACATAGTAAGCACTCAATAAATGCTCATTGATTGACTGATTGATCACAATTATATCTGGCTGCTTTATGTGTATATGCCATTAAAATTCAAATTTATTTTCAGTTCTGAATTCTCTCTCTCTCAATTCCCCTTTTCCCACCCACTGAGAATGCAAGAAAAATAAGACCCACTACAAATATGTATAGTTAAGCAAAGCAAATTACTGCACTGGCCATGTCTACAAAAAAAAGAAAGAAAACATACTTCAATCTACACACTGAGTCTATCAGTTCTCTTCTGAAGTGGATAGCATGTTTCAGTTCTTTGGAATTGTAGTTGGTCATTGTGTTGTTTAGAGTTCCTTTGTCTTTCAAAGTTATTTATCTTTACAACAGCATTATTGTATAAATTGTTTTCTTGGTTCTGCTTACTTCACTCTGCATCAATTCATACAAACCTACCCAGGTTTTTTTGTGGAATTATCCCCTTCATCTTTTTGATAACACAATAGTATTCCATCATATTCATATACCATAACTTGTTCAGTCATTCCCAAATTGATGGGTGCCCTTTCAGGTTCTAATTTTTTTTTTGCCACAAAAAAGAGCTGTTATACATATTTTTGTAAATATAGGTCCTTTTCCTCTTTCTTTGATCTCTTTGGGATACAAACCTAGTAGTGGCATTGCTGGGTTAAAGGGTACACACAGTTTAATAGCCTTTTGGACATATTTCCAAAATGCTTTCCAGAATGGTTGGGCTGGTTCACAGCTCTACCAACAGTGTAGTAATGACCTTTTTTTAAATTAAATATTGCTGTCTTAACTCCCCAACTAAATCGTAAGTTATTCAGGGGCAGAAATGCTACTTTCTACTTCACATCCCCTAACACTGCCAAAGCCCAGGACTTACTATATTGCAGATGTCCATTACTTTAAAAATGAATGGAACTGAATATTAGTGGACTATTAGTGTCGATAACAAATACGAAAGTTCATATTTTTTTTTAAATGAGCTTGCACACCTCTACTTTTCCTTTAGTGTCTAATGATTAATCTTAAAGGCAACTGACTCAGCAAAAAATGACTACTCAAATGTTTTCATTTGGCTTCTCTGAAAACTCTATTTATCTTTAGGGAACTCATCCACTTGTATAGCACTGATTCTTTACTCCTAAAATGTTGGTGGATATTGGAGGCCCTGGCTTGAGTATCCACTTCTTTAAATCCATACATTGGGCATTCAGCAAGCAGCTTATGCCCAGTTTGCTGTCATCCAGGCACTTCCAGTATTCCCCTTCCAATCAACCACTGGTAGGTGATGCATTGGTGACTTACTTGATGATGGCAATGAAACCTGCTATCATTTTACTGAAACATAGGAGTAAAGATCCAGAACTGGAAGAGCCCTAGCTGTTATAACATCTTCATACAAATTTGGAAATCGAAGCACAGAGAAGTGATGTGATTTGCCCACTGGAGAGTTTTGCTATGTTTCCCAGAGGCTTTCATTACCCTCTCATCTTCCCCACTCCTCTCACTCACCTGGAGGGCCCTGACCTCCAGGTTGCCCAGGAGGCCCTGGAAGGTAAGCATTTGAAGCCAGCAACTTGTCAACAGTGACATGCTTGCCCAGGTCAGCAGCATTGTTCGGAAGCAGTGCAATCTGGAAAGAGGGTAATGTACCACTGTTAGAAAAGAGAGGTTCATGGGTTTGTGTAAGATCTTGACACTTGCTTGTTTTAAAATTATCTGTGTTCCCAGTGCAAAGAATCAGAGAAAACTAAGACTGGATGGGACCCTAGGGATCATCTAGTCCTACTTTTTCATTTTAATTCATGAGAAAATTGAGTACCAGAGAGATGGAGTGACTTACTCAGAATCACACAGCTAAAGGTCACCAGAGTTAGTGGTGTAGTCAAGTTAGAAACAAAGTCTCTTTTGGAAAAGGCCTGGAATTCTGGGACTTACCCTCTTTGGCCAGCTGACAGAACCTAATTCTCTCTGGGGCTAGGACCTATGATGACCCTTAGAGTAACATCTGAACACTCAGTAATAACCTTTGGTAAAATTGTGAAGCAAGTGACATTTATTTGTAAAATTTCACTTTTCCTTTACTTTGTAGTATCCTCCCTTCCTTTCATCCTTAAGCTGAAAGATTCTCAATGCTTTCTGTCCATAAGGTCCACTCCATACTTATATTCCACTGGATGAGCTAGTACCCCATGCTCTAGACATCCTCCTCCTTACCACATTTCATCACAGCTCACTTGTCCTATAACTTATTTCTTTAGGGTCCTATTGCCTTCCATGGTTTATGTGACAAATTGATTCAAGCAGTGGATATTACTAATTAGAATAATCTATACTATTATTATATTACATATTATATTACATATTGCATTATTATGTTACTTATATCACATCACATTATACTATATTACATATAATTATAAAACATATATTATATTTCATATAATACTATTATTATACTACATATAATAAATAACCTAATATGTATGATAGTATATGATTTATAATGTATATCTTGTATTTGTTTGTAAGTGTGCTTGTTGCAACCCCCACTAACTCTGGTGTCCTTTAGGGCAGGGACTACAAAATTATTGTCATTTTATCCCCAGAGACTAGTATAGTGTCTTACACATAGTAGGCGCTTAACAGGTGTTTGCTGAATTGGATTAACTTGATGGCAGGGAAAGCATGAACTCTTCCAGAAAATAAATAAGGTTCATAAAGATTTTGTGTAGCGTTTAAACTTTTAAGCTTTAATAGCTCAGCCTGTCATTCACCAAAATCTTCCTTCAATATCTCCTCAGAGTTAGAGGTCACCCTGGATTCTCAAATGTTAAGCATTAATTTAGATCATGTATTTAGATGAAGAAAGGACTTCAAAGGTCATCTTGTCCAACCCCTCCATTTTATAGATGAGGAAAGCGAGGCCCAAAGATATTAAGTGACTTACCAAGATCATAAATGTAATGTGTCAGTGCAAGAATTTGAACCCCAGGTTCTCTGAGACTCCAACTTCAGTGTTCTTTCCATCGTGTCACATTACTACAACCTCCTCACTTCAAAGATGTGAAACTGAGACATAAGGAAGTTGAGACTTGCCACGGTCACATATTTGAACCAAGGTTTTGTGACTCCAAATCCACCATTCCTATGTTGCACCATGTTATACTGAGCCTTCAATGGATCACAAGTAGGGTATTCCAACCTGGAAAGCCTTGGTGGTTGGGTGTGGTGATAGGCCCTCAGTTACCCGTCACCTGAGGATCAGCCTCAAATTCAGAGAGGGTCATAGCCAGAAGACAGGCTGCCTGGTGACTTTTTGCCCATCGTCCAGTCTTTAAAAACAAAGGCTAACAATTTTCATCAATGAAGAGCTGGCCCACCCACATCAACGAAATCACAAATCTTTCAGTGTATCAAAGTTACTTGGGTCCTATGTATGACAGAAGTAATTTGTCAAAAAATTCAAATTCCAAATTCCCTTACCGGCTTTTAAAAGAAAGCTGGATTGTATGCTGATAACTGAGATGGACTTGAATTCCTCTCAATCCAAATTATGGTAGCCTTTGTTTTTCACTTGACAGAGAATAGAGGAAACAGTCTGTAATGTAATTACTTTAAACTTTAATTGATGTGCTTTGCCACATTATCAACAGTTTCTAGAACCTAAGTTCCTCAAATTTTCATGTGTATTAGGATTTTCTAAAGACTTTTATACGCAATCTGCCATGGACCCTAACATGTAACCCAAAGGAGTTAAACACTGAGAGGAGGCTGTTTGGCTCAGTAGATATAGCACTGGACTTGGAGGTAGGAAGACCTGAGTTCAAATCCTGTCTCAAACACTAGCTAAGTGACCTTGGTTAAGTTACTTAATCTACTTCAGTTTCCTCATCTATAAAATGGGGATAATGATAGCACCTATCTCCCAGTTGTTGAGAGGATGAAATGAGAATATTTGTAGACTGCTTTGCCAGTCTTAAAGTGCTACAGGATTGCTAGTATAGTTATTATTTGCTATTTAGAATAACTAAGAGGGAGAATTCCAGGGGGATCTGTGACCATGAGACCAGTGAGGAAGACATTTTTGATAAGAGGGCCTTTCAACCTCTTAAATCACAACAACTACATGGCTATATACTCCATCTACAATATTCTGTCAGGTTATGGCTAGTCATCAAGAGAATGTCTTATTTTTTATGAAAATGAAACTGGTTATAAATGCTCCAAACTACCTTTTGGAGGCACAGATCAGGTAATATAGAGGTGAGAAAAATCATCACATGAACTCCAATGGACACAGATCTGCTAGGCCAGCTTGGCCATGTGAAGTCTGAGGGTCAGAGGTCCTGCAGGGAGATGACTCCAGACAGTGAGCTCCAAGTCCCTTAGGGGCTTCTCAGGTAGAGAGGGAGGGCAGTGATGAACTCTAGGCTAGCAGTTAGTTCCAAGATAGTGATAAAATCAGCAATTTGAAACTGATTAACTTTCCTACACATGCTCTAAGAAATTGGACTGGACCTGACTGAAAGATACTGGAGTCCCATGGGCCAGGATCTGGTGCAGGCTTGGAGGAGGACCTACCCTAGACCATATCCAGACCTACAAGATCCCTTAAGCCTCCAAAGCCACCTAGGAAGGTAACTATCTAGGAAGATAGCTTTGGGCATATGCGCTTGGTTCAGAGGAGCCTTATATTTCTAGCTATAGCAACTATCATTGTGAAAAAGTGGCCAGGAAACAGGGCAAGCCTTTTGGTGACTTTTGGACATGGAATTACTGCGATACAATCTGTTATTTTAAGTGTTGGGTGCTTTCTCTGTAGTACTGGCCAAAAAACAGGATAACCATTTTAGGGTAGTCACTTTTCATTTTCCATTTTCTTGTTCAGATTATCCCCTTCTCTCTTTTTCTTTACCTTACATTTCATGCTAAAGTTTTGGGAGACTTGTGATGCAATCCACAGGAAAGATGCTATGCAGGATAAATCTAGAACTCATCTCCCGGCCTCTATTTTAAATATACTATGTACAACATTACACACTGGGGAATTGATCGCTACAATAAAACAGCATGGAAACACAATCAAAAGAGATCCAGGAGGTCTTGCATAGACTCCAGAGAAAAGTATCAAAGATAGTAAATGCATCTGTTGATCCACAGATGGAATACTAGGGCAAACATTATTAGGTTTGAATAACATACAGGTAGGACTGTGACTTTTCTGCTGCCAAAAGACTTTCACTGTGGCGAAAGTTTTGGCATCAAGTTTACATTCAATGGCTGTGTTTACATTCGACATTTTCATTGTGAAACATGATTCTGAGAATTACCACTGGCATTATTGTTCTCCACCCACAAGGGACCTTTTTGAGTGTAATGTTCTTGTGATATCTTTTTACAAGCTGACAATTTCCTTTGCTCATGGGAATATACTATCCTGCCAGTGGAATAAACTTGTGATTCATGAAGGGTGAGTCAACCATGTTTACATTAAACACCTCTACTATGAACACGACTCTGAATATAACAAATGTTTAACGTGTCAGGCTGTCATATAAGGCTGTCATAACTTCTTACGACAGCCTTACTACTTTGAAGAAACCAATGCAAAGTAAATTTTTTTTTTTGCTTTTTGGTGAGGCAATCAGGGTTAAGTGACTTGCCCAGGGTCACACAGCTCATAAGTGTCAAATGTCTGAGGCCTGATTTGAACTCAGGTTCACCTGACTCCAAGGCTGGAGCTCTATCCACTGTGCCACCTAGTTCCCCCCCCCCTTTTTTGTGAGGGAATTAGAGTTAAGTGACTTGCCCAAGGGCACAGAGCTAGTAAGTGTCAAGTGTTTGGCCTGAGACTAGATTTCAATTTAGGCCCTCCTCACTCCAGGGCCTGTGCTCTATTCACTGCACCACTTAGCTTCCCCCAGCAAAGTAAATTCTAACTGGACCTTTAGAAAATTGGGGTCAAGCTCAGGGGTCATTTAATGATTAACTTGTGCTCAAATTCATGGCCATAGGCTGGCCTCCTAATCCTGGTTAGCCATTCTGCAAATGTTGTGTCTTTGGTCTCAAGAATGACAGAAAGACAATATGTGGATTAATCTGGTGAATTCTTTCCCCACTATGGGAAAACAAAGACTTAAAACACATGTCCTATTAACAAAGGTGGGGCTAGGGGGATGGTGTCACCTGAAAGCACTAAATGCTATCTTTACTTGTTTCCTGGTGAAAGAAACAAATATAAAGAATAAGAGATTCTTTGGTAGGGTAGAGTGGAAAGAGCACTAAGCTGGCAATCAGAAGATTCCCTATTCTACACTCATAGATTTAGAGCTGGGAGCAATTGTAGAGGTCATTGAATCCAACCCTTCTCATTTGATAAATGAGGCTCAGACAGGTAAAGTGTCTTGCCCCAAATCACCCAAGTACCATGAGACAAAGACAGGATTCAGGCTCACTGATGGTAAAAATTCACCATCCTTTCTATTGCCTCGTGCCAGTCTGACTTCTATCACTTACTAACAGGTTACATCCCTTCCCCTATCTAATGTCTCACTTCCATCCCTGCAAAATAAAGGGATTGTGTCATCAGGGGCTCTTAACCTGGAGTCCATCACTTTGTCTTCTATGTTT